GCGAGAGGTTTGCCACATCCTGCCTGTTGGAGAGACGTTGAAGGGTGGAGAATATTTCGTCACTCACAAGGGATTGGAGACGCTTTTGAACTCTATCCAGGCTGGAAAGTTAAGTTTGGGTAGCTCGAACCCAAGTATAACATCAGTACTCCATTTTTTAACTAATCTGGCTCTTGTGAAGGTAGAGGATAGCATGAGGAGTCAGGTCCTTACTAGTGCGGTACAGGAAGCCGACCATTTTACCTGAGTCTTTAGCGATAGATCGTATGTACGAATTTCACTTGAGGTCAGGTGTGAGTATAAACAGATTGTTTTTTTTCGATAAATCTGTTGTTAACTGGGGCAAGTAATGGCTTGTTAATTTTAACGCCTCCAAAACGAAACTTCTCTCTATTAAACAAATTAAGACCCCTTCACGCCTCCCATCGGTATGGCTGATGCTAACTTCCGTGAGAGTGACTCGTTGCGCTTCTCGGTCTAATATCATCGGCTAATATGAAGTGCAAAAACTATATTGAATCCATGGCTAAGAAAGTAGATTCATTGTGTCGTGTTAGACGATATTTCTCCTCCAGAATCTATCGTGCATATTTATAAGTTTACCATTCGTCCATGCTTTGGATATTGCTTACATATCTGGTTCGGTGCTCCTGATGTATATTTAGCGATTCTTGATAAAATCCAAAGAAGAAACAGCAATGTTATTGGTCCTGACCTAGCATCTCAGCTTCAGTCACTTTCCCACCGCCGTAATGTAGCTTCCATGTACCTTTTCTATGAATATTTTCATGGTAGTTGTTCGGATGAACTCTTCACTATGGTAACTAAACTTTAATGAATTTAAGCGCAGTACTAGATTGGCGGTAAGGTCTCATCAATTCACAGTTAAATTAGTCTTCTTTTCCTTTTTTTTTCTAATCACAGTTGACAATATGGAAGCACTTTCGACATATCACACATAACCTGCGCAGCAATTCTTCGAAATGACGATCCAACCTCTGGAAGAGCCACATTGCGAACACTCTCAAACAGCTCTAATTGAACGGAACACGTATATATTCTGTGATATGACGACTGCTTGGTATGGATTTTTTCGCCACACCGATACTTATCCCAGCATGCGTCACAGTCTAAGACACAGACAGTGCCCTGGTATAGATACGTGAGAAGATAACCAAAGACATGGAAAATTTTATCAGAATGTCTTCAACACCCTTGTATGCACATAGTGTATCCAAGTCAAAATCGGCAACGCCTTTCAAGATGCTGTAATTTGGTTTCCGCCTATATATGTGTATATACATATATCTCTGTGTGTGTATGTATGTTTGCGTTTACACATATAATGCATGTGTCTTGCACTTCTCTGTGGAATAATGGTTAGAAAACTTGTTTTGCTAGATCAATTACAACTGAGTAGTGAGTTCGATCCTTACTGGGTACTCTATACTTTCAGCTTTGTTCCAAATTTAATTTGGGCTTAGTAAATCTCTCTCTCTCTCTCTCTCTCTCTCTGTGTGTGTGTGCTTACATATATAATTCCTGGGTTTTGTACTTCTCCGTGGAGTAATGATTGTCAAGCTTGTCTCGCTAGATGAGTTTCCACCTAGTAACGACTTCTATTCTCATTGGGTATTCCATACTTTCGGCCTTGTGCCACATCTAAGTTACACTTAGTTTGGGTACTTCTCTGCGGTGTAATGGTTTGCATGCTTGTCTCGCTAGATCAGTTAAAACTGAGTAACAAGTTCTATCCCCATTCGGTGCTCCATACTTGCGGCCTTGTGCCTCATCTAAGATGCGCTTAGTAAATCGCCTTTATATATATATATATATATATATATATATATATATCTGTGTGTGTGTGTGTGTGTAAACTAGCTGAAGTACTCGTCTACGCTGGGTAAGATGTGAAGATTTGGATTACAGTTGGTTATAAATATAATAGCTATAATATGTTTCCTTATCACTGCTGGTGTTAAGAGTTGTTTCCGTCAGAGTCAAGTGATAAAAATTAAGTTATTAGTATAAATATAACACCTTTCGTCGCCGCCTACACGCGGTGGTGAAACCACGTTTTAGTGGTCTGGTCCTCGGGGTCTTAGAACGACGTTTTAACCACGGGGCTAACACTGCGCTCGTCAATGGTGACGCTGGTCTAAGCTGGTTGTTGGTCGCTGGCCGTTGGCCGCTTCGATACAGACTAACTCTGCCCACACTGTTCTTGATCTCAGAGTGGTGGAAAATCGAAAGTCTCGCAACACGTGTGCTATATTAAGGAAAAAATATCTTCACGACGAGAACTAAAACGAGAGATTCGTTGGGTTAATCTTCAGTTGGTTTATATAGCCCTTGGTACAACAAAAACTAACCCTTCCCGCATCAATCTCTATTGCGACACTGGGCCTTGTCTAAACTTCTGGAGAGTCTGAGTTTAAAGTCTTGGAATCAAAAAATCTGTTGGCAGCTGGCACGGACTTCAGAGGCACTCGGCGTGTGTCTTCAAAAGTCTCTGAGCTCCCCGAAGTCATCTGCTTATACGGCACTTCGGCCCAAAACTGGCATGGGGCCGAAGGGTTCTGGGGATTCGGTGATTTCCCAATTTTCATTAATTCCAACAAAGATTTTCTTTGTACCCTATTTCTGCTTTCTTAATCAACTTTTCCAAATCCATCTTTCTTGGGAGTAGTTAAGAGAGATTGCTTCTCCCTTAACTCCAACCTGCTTCACTTCACACCACGCATCGCTACTCCGCACGGGCGGGGACAAATTCTGCCCCTTCCTCGTTCCTTCCCGGTATTTTTTGTCCACTTCTCAAGGCTGGCATAACTGTCTTTGTGACAAATCTAATTTTTAAAGCGCGTAGGAGAATGGGCGTGATTTATTCTCTTTGTTAATTTAAATTCTTTGACTTCTTTTCTGGACCCACTTGTCCAGCTAAAAAACAAAAAAATCACCTTCTCATTTTAACCTTCCGCGCGATAGATGAAAATCATCGTTTGTTTTCATCAATGAAAATATATTTGTTTTCTCAACATGCTTTTTCATCCTTGAGGCGGTTGCTGTCTTAGCGAAAACATGAAGCAGATCACTTGCCTGTTATGACGGATCTATTTTCATAATCCTAACCCGCGCAGCGGATACATTCTCTGTATTCATTTCTCAATTCATTTTTCCTAATGAAAGTATAATTCCCATCTGCTTCTGTTTTCGCCAATGGCATGTACTTTTCTAATTTCCCAAGAAAGAGATAAATCCATTTCCCAATTTGTTTTACCCGTATTTCAGATTTTCGATAGATAAAAAGGTAAACTCTTGGTATATCATTCCAATTCATAAGGGTGAGGCTACCCAGATGGCCCTTTCTTCACTTCTACATTACCAGGGAAAATGTCTTCTATTCTCTCTTTCTATCTCTCTATCTTCCAGTTTGTATTTCATTTTGGGCTTAACCTTTTTTCTGCTTAGAATTAATGTTTAATCACCTCACAGCCTCAGTGTGACATAATTAAATCAAAATTTTGTATTCTTTAAATTCGCTTCATTCACACGTGGAATGTATAACTAAGAAACATCTATTTTACAATCGTTGTTGCCAATTAAAAATTACTTATTACATTATTGATATACGTCAACATTTATTTTCAGCAGCGTTGGTCATGTTCAGTAACCATGTAAAGGAATTACTAGTGTAAAAGAACATTGGTTGCGGAAATTGTCCAGAGTAATTGTTTTTTTTTTTTTCAAGGCACACATATTATGATCCGGACATTAATAAAAGAAGTATCTTTAACTAAGATATTTCGTTAGCCAAAAAATAAATCCTCTCTTTTACCATGAGAACGCACAGATAATACCCTTTGAGGCAGAGCGCATTAATAATCTGATTGCATGTGCAAAAGCCGATTCATAGACTTGTTTCATGGATACTTTGCTTCTTTTATGTGTCGTGTCCATTCAGGACTTGGGCGATTATGGTTCTCCACAACTTCCTATCCTTTAGAGCCCTAAGCATTGTTTATCACTTTAATATCCTTTCTACTGATCACTACAATCTTAACCTTTTCGTCTAGAGTTAACCGTTATCTTCCCCACATTCCGCATAAACTGTGCCTCTTACTATGTAACCCTCTACCTCGAGTGGCTCCCAGGGCTTGCACAGGGTGATCATCACTGTAAAAATCATGTTTTGCTCTCCATTTACACAATCTCAAGATGTTAGTCGCTGGCTCTCTTGCCTTCAATATGTCCTCTGAGTGTCAGATACTCCAAGCCGTCTTTCCTCATTATATGTCTCAGAAACTTGAAATGTATTTTTCCATTCCTAAGTAAATGTCCCCTTTCGTACTTTACGAGTAAATAAGTAAAATATTCGACCATTTACTTTGCAGCTCTGTTCCATAACTACTGAGCTGTAACAGCAAATTAAAACAAAAACAGTTTTGTACGTGGTTCTAGTAATAATTTTATTTTAGTTTTAGTATCACTACTACTACTACTACTACTACTACTACTACTACTGCTGCTGCCGCCATCATTACGTCTTGTTTTTACCCTTCTCAGATATCAGGTGTCTCACCTCGGGCCACCTTTGCACGCACGCTACCCACAACCAAACTCAACCCTCTGCGCACTCCTCTTCAACCTTGTCTCCATCGTACTTGCTTCTTTCGCCACCCATTCCTTCCCCTATGATACAAATTTACCCCCAACCTCTTGTTACTCCTTTGGGGGCACTGCTACAGCTGCACTGAATAGCACAAATAATAGGAAAGCGAGCTGCTCCTTGAAGAACGGAGGTTATGGGAGAGTGGTGGCGGTGGTAGTGAAACAGACGGTGGTGAGGGTGGTAGTGGTGGTGGTGATAGGAGAAAAAGATGGTGTTAGTGGTGGTTGTAGTGACTAAGAGGTAGGATTTATTTTTGTTTTCTTTCTGTAAAAGGTTGGTGCAAGCGTAGTTTTTGAGTGAAATAGCAAACAGGAAAACAAGCGTTTAAGACTTAGAAGATGGGAAAAATGGAGAGAGAGAGAGAGAAAGAGAGAGAGAGAGAGAGGCATTTTTAGCTGAGAAGTAGAAGGGTTGAATTCGTGGGTGGACGAAAGTTATGGTTTTTATATATATGTATGGGTGTGTATATATATATATATATATATATATATATATATATATATATATATATATATATATATATGTGTGTGTATATATATATATATATATATATATATATATATATAATATATCCATCGCACCCTTTATATATATATATATATATATATATATATATATACACAAACACACACATACCTATGCAGACACACACACACACATATATGGTGTGTATATATACAGTATGCAATGGATAAATTGTTGTCTAAATTACGCAAAAATAACACTGACATCTCATTTTAACAGATATATTTACTGAAATTGCACAAAAATATCTTGAAATACTAAAGAGTAAATTTATTCAATAAAAATTGCCATTGGCTTCGATCACAGCCTTCAAACGATTTCGGAATTTCCTGCAACTCTTCTGGACGTTCTCTTTGTCTATGTCGGGGAATGCTGCCATAATCTTTGCCTTCAGTTCATATTTAGTTTTACAAAGAATTTTGTTGGTCTCTCGCTCAACTGCACTCCTCACATAATAATCGATGGGGTTACAGTCTGGGAAGTTAAGTGGACAGATGTAAGGGCTGACGTGGTCAAAGAAATTGTTTGACAGCCATGACCGTGTTCTCCTGCTTGTGTGTCATGGAACTGAGTCCTGTTGCCTGACATAATGTTTTCCAGTAGCCACTCTCTTAACCCAGGGCAGCACTTCATCCTCAAGGTACGATGTAGGCTTCTGTGTTGGGTCTGAAGCCCTCACCAACAAATTAGGGAGTTCTTTTCTTATCAGAAATGGTCATATTGGAGCTTCAGGGGCGAATTCCAAGCAGTACAGCATGCCGTTCCCAAATTTCTGGTGGAGTGAATTACGCCATGGTTCTCTTTTCCTTACAGACGGTGCCCAACTGACCCTACTATACTGTGCAGTCGACAAAATCACAAGCAAACAACGCGCATGCGCGAAATAAAAAATATAAAATGGTGACAATTTACCTATTGCACCCTGTACACACACACACACACACACACACACACACACACACACACACACATATATATATATATATATATAAAACTGGGCTATAAATAAATTGAGACAGTCGCCGTAATTGTGACCGAATCGTAGATCAATTCTGCTTCGATCTTCATTCTTCTTTTATGTGCCGTGGCCCTTCGAGACATTATATGAGCACGGCTCTCCACAACTTCTTTTCTTTGTTGCTCTAAGTAAAGTTTGTCCCTCTCCCCCATTCTCTGTTCTGTAACCCATTTATACAAGTTCACCAGGAAGGCTACTTACAGTTTCCCTCTACTCTTCTTGTCTTCAGTATGTCCTGTGTGTGTCAAGTTTTCCAAGCATTCTTTTCTCATTATGTGTTCTAGCAATTTCAATTGTCTCCTTCAAATTCTTAGCATAAAATGTCCTTTTCGTTTCTATTTTCCTTAAAACTTCTTTATTACTTATAAGTTCGATTCATCCTTGGCATTCGACATGCTATCCATATTCTCAGTATCCTTTTGTCGAACGAAATTTCTTTGTCTTAATTCGTCCTATCTGCGAAGGAAATGTCCAGTATTTATTGCCATATAGGAGGATTGGTATTCCATAGTAGTTCAGTTAGCTTTTTTTGTTTCTAACGACATTTTCCTGTTTCTTAATACTTTGATTAGTTTTTAGAAGGCATCTTTTGCCATTCCAATGTCCCTTCGAATTCCGGTGTCACATTTTCTATCTTCTGTTAAAACACTTCCCAAATATTTAAACTTCTGTATTTGTTTGATTTTGACATCACCAATTCGTAGTTCGCATCTTGGGATTTTTTTTCTCTTGCTGACAACAACACATTCTGGTTTCTTCCACTTTTTTTTTCTACCGTTTTCTTTTACAACCTTGTCTAGGAGTCCGTGTAAAATTCTTTCTGTGTCTGCTATCAACACGGGGTCATCCGCATATTCTATATTATTAAAATTATGTCCACCAATAATAAATCCTCTCGATCTTCATTGGTATGTAAGCCTTTGTTAGACTTTACCTAAGATTAGTACCTGTGTTTTTGTGTTAATCTGTGTGTAAGAGAGGTTCTAGTGTGGTAGTAGCGTGGTAGTTACTGTGTTCTTTTTACAAATTGTTGCAAATGAGTTGCGGTACAAGTTAAGTCTTTTGGTCCGTGCTGAAATGTGTATGACGTCACAGAAAGATGAAGAATTCCCAGCAGCAGAAGCAGCCGTTCGCTGTAACAAGGTTGCAAGTTTGAATTTAGAAACAAATTGTTTGTTATTTGGATTTAATTTCTGCTATTCAGCACGCAATTATGTTAATATTTTCTTAAAAGAACAAAATAAAAAGCTAAGTGGGATAGAAATAAAAATTATTTGCTTCATTCACTTTTCATAGAAGTGAAACAATGTATTACATTTATACTTGTTCGGTTATTACTGCGAGCGAATTTAACGTTTGTGATGTTGAGCATTTCAACATGGACCACATTACTTGAGTTGACTTGTACCCATGAATGTTGGTTTATGCTAAGGTTGGCTTATTTTGATGGATAGATAGATATGAATAGGTTGTGATAGATAGATAGATAGATAGATATGAAACGAATGATATAGATAGATATAAATAGGGTGATAGGTATGAATAAACGATAGATATGAATAAACGATATATATATATATATATATATATATATATATATATATTATAATTATTTTCTATTTTAAAAATCAGGTTTAAAGTAGAAAATAATTATAATATGCTCTACTGTTTTTTGTATCGAGCACTGTTTTTCTTTTCAATAATTACTAAGAACACCGGATTGTAAATCTTACTGTTCTTTCTTATTATTTTTAATATATATATATATATATATATATATATATATATATATATATTGTTTGAATAAAAGACAGACCACGTTAAGATTCCATGTAATAAGCTATTTCACCATAACCCTTTAACAGGTTTCTGGATCATCAGACTTTACTTCCAAAAGCTGAAATGAAAAATGAAAAAGAAATTCACACGTTTTTTACGGACCTCATCAAGTATACGCAAAGTTAACGAAGTGAGGAAGTGAGGTGGGAGAGAGGATATGAGTGTGTCATATGTATCATTTTAGTTTCCTATTTTAACCCCAGTGTGTCGGCTGGATGTTGCTCAAATCTAACGCGTCTCGTCTCTAGATAAAGGTGGTTAAGTGGTGAGCGATAAGGACTACATTAAGGAAGACGCGTTACAACAGCCCCAATAAATTACACGACAGGTTTCATTCAAATTCCTAGACGCTGTCAGTTCGCGTTACTTTAACGTGCATATTTGGGAGGTTAAGGTTTGATAAATATCTAAAATTTTAAAACAATCTACGAAGAAATTAATTTGAAATTCGGTGGAGTTTTGGGTATTTCCTATGAAGCAGTCGATTGGAAAGATCCATAGACAGAACATTGAAAGAGTAATCCCAATTTATATTTAGTACTTTTTCCACTAAAGCTTTTATCTTATAGCTTGTTAGGTTGACATTTATTCGTTTGATTTTTGTTCATTAAGTAAACTTGTGATTGTTTTTGATTTTTGTTCATTAAGTAAACTCGTGGTTGTTTTTATGTATCCAATTATCAACAGTTGTTCCCATTTAAATAATTTTATTTTCCCCATTGGGGTAGTATCTTTCAATCTCAATTAAAATACTAGTCTAACACTTTCCCTTCGTGCTATTTAAAATTCACTTCCAATTGGAGAATATTAGAGGAGAAATTTGGAAGAGATGTCACTAGCAGAAAATTAGGCCCTTCTTTTATATTTTCTTATCTACACATGTCTTAAACCCCTATTTGTAACCACATACCTATATCGTCTTATATGCCTATGAGTTCCTATATACACCTACACACACATTCACACGAAACGATATATGTATATTTCCATCTTTACACATATACACCTGCAGAGAGAACGCACATCCACATGTCTCCATACCTGTCTCCATGTATACTTATACTTACATATATATATATATACACACAAGGACATCTGCATATCCATATATACTCATACGCACATATACATATCTACACATCCATACGTATACACATACATACACACACCCATATATGCATACGTGCATACATATATATACATGCACACACATATGCATACGCAATCTGCAGAATATCTATATACCCACATATGCGTTAATTTGCACTTACATATATCTCTACCTACGTATTTGTCCCTATTCTCATGTCCACCTGTGCATCCACTTATACCTGCGTTCGAAGACTATCTCAGTGTTTAATTACACAATATATGAAGCAACAATTTTCCCCAAAGAAAAGGTTGAAGAGAAAAAGATATACATTGGAATATCAGCGGGAGATTGGAAACACCGACTATACAACCATCGCCAATCCTTCAAAAATAAATGTAAAAAAAACCAAACAGCACTATCAAATCATTATTGGTTTTTGTTGGAGAGTGGCCTAACACCACAAATAAAGTGGAGAATAATATCAAGAGCCAGAACTCCCAAAAACTTCAGAGACAGATGCAACTTATGTTTGAAGGAGAAAATCTTCATAATCAAACATAAAGATCCAGACATACTACTAAATAAACATAATGAACTAATTTTTAAATGCCGACACAAAAACAACCTATACCTAAGCAAGTACACTAAGAAATAATCATATAGGAACAGCAATTTTGAATGTTTTATATTCCCTTTGCTTTTAGAAATATTACTATGCACACGTGGACGCTAACACATGACTGTATGTATACAACTATGATAATGTATTTGCACACTGAGACACCTATTGATATGTACATGTATATGTTTTTATACGGAAAAAGAAACATACCGTTTTTTTTTTTTTTTTTGTGAGTGTGGAGATGTACAATTAGGTACTTATATGTTTTGCCATAAATATGAAAGATCGGGTAATATTATATGTGTAAAGACATAGATAATGTAATTAAACACTGAGATAGTCTTCGAACGCAGGTATAAGTGGATGCACAGGTGGACATGAGAATAGGGACAAATAAGTAGGTAGAGATATATGTAAGTGCAAATTAACGCATATGTGGGTATATAGATATTCTGCAGATTGCGTATGCATATGTGTGTGCATGTATATATATGTATGCACGTATGCATATATGGGTGTGTGTATGTATGTGTATACGTATGGATGTGTAGATATGTATATGTGCGTATGAGTATATATGGATATGCAGATGTCCTTGTGTGTATATATATATATATGTAAGTATAAGTATACATGGAGACAGGTATGGAGACATGTGGATGTGCGTTCTCTCTGCAGGTGTATATGTGTAAAGATGGAAATATACATATATCGTTTCGTGTGAATGTGTGTGTAGGTGTATATAGGAACTCATAGGCATATAAGACGATATAGGTATGTGGTTACAAATAGGGGTTTAAGACATGTGTAGATAAGAAAATATAAAAGAAGGGCCTAATTTTCTGCTAGTGACATCTCTTCCAAATTTCTCCTCTAATATTCTCCAATTGGAAGTGAATTTTAAATAGCACGAAGGGAAAGTGTTAGACTAGTATTTTAATTGAGATTGAAAGATACTACCCCAATGGGGAAAATAAAATTATTTAAATGGGAACAACTGTTGATAATTGGATACATAAAAACAACCACGAGTTTACTTAATGAACAAAAATCAAAAACAATCACAAGTTTACTTAATGAACAAAAATCAAACGAATAAATGTCAACCTAACAAGCTATAAGATAAAAGCTTTAGTGGAAAAAGTACTAAATATAAATTGGATTACTCTTTCAATGTTCTGTCTATGGATCTTTCCAATCGACTGCTTCATAGGAAATACCCAAAACTCCACCGAATTTCAAATTAATTTCTTCGTAGATTGTTTTAAAATTTTAGATATTTATCAAACCTTAACCTCCCAAATATGCACGTTAAAGTAACGCGAACTGACAGCGTCTAAGAATTTGAATGAAACCTGTCGTGTAATTTATTGGGGCTGTTGTAACGCGTCTTCCTTAATGTAGTCCTTATCGCTCACCCCTTAACCACCTTTATCTAGAGACGAGACGCGTTAGATTTGAGCAACATCCAGCCGACACACTGAGGTTAAAATAGGAAACTAAAATGATACATATGACACACTCATATCCTCTCTCCCACCTCACTTCCTCACTTCGTTAACTTTGCGTATACTTGATGAGGTCCGTAAAAAACGTGTGAATTTCTTTTCATTTTTCATTTCAGCTTTTGGAAGTAAAGTCTGATGATCCAGAAACCTGTTAAAGGGGTTATGGTGAAATAGCTTATTACATGGAATCTTAACGTGGTCTGTCTTCTATTCAAACATATCTCTGAATTTTACATTGAGCTCTCTGGATATCATCCTCCTCAGGTCTACCCATACGGATTACCTAAATTTGCATAACTATATATATATATATATATATATATATATATATATATATTTATGCTATTGTTATGCGTTATTTATATAGACACAAATATTTAAGTAAATACTCTGTTTATAATAAACAGTACTAACAACATTTACCGGCCTGAATGCCCGAGAAATTTCATAGAAAATATGCGTCCTCCGACAGGAATCGAACCTGTATCCTATACAGAACCGTCATATAGCCTGACGTGCTATACCAGTTTAGCTACGAAGCAAGCATCTGGTTAGCAAGGTCGAAATAATTGTCGGGCTTAATCCACTTCATGATATATGACGTCATTTGTTTAGGTTAAGATACGTTTCGGGCAGATATGAACGTTCGAGGGAAATCATGGGAAATTTGTAGTTTAAGAGCAGTAATTCGACCTTGCTAACCAGACGTTTCCTTCTAAGCTAAACTGGCATAGCACGCCAGGCTATATGACGGTTGCGTGTAGGATACAGTTTCGATTCCTGTCGGAGGACGCATATTTTCTGAAGCCGATATAAGATGAAGTAAAATATGTCCGAGAAAAAAAATACTTCCAGGAAGCTATAATATATATCTCAGGTTAATCTTAAACATTACATATTATTGGTAATTAATGTCGTCTGTCAACTTTTAAGTTAAAAACATGAATAGGAACATAACACCAACATTCATCTTATTAAATAAAAAAACAAAGTGACAAGTCCAAGTGTCCAAATATATTTCTAAATGATTTTTACCAACACAAAACAAATTTAATTCACTAAGATTTTAGAATTTATTCATCTCAGATAACCAAAACAAGTAACTTGCCTGCACTAATGTGAAGGGTAATACTGAGATCTGAACTGCAGTATATAGGCCAGGTCTGGCTCAAAGGCAGTGATTTTAGAAATTGGCTAGAAAAGGTCGAGTCAGGATCACACTGCCAGAAGGCGGCCACAGTGCTGATGCCATCTTTTGGTTAAACATGAAATTGCATAAGTAGGTGTGTACTTTACATACTCTGATTGACAATACAGGTGGGTCGGAAGTGAACTTTGGACATGACTCGCTTGGAAAAAGGTTGGGCAGCGTACACTTACACTTATGTAATATTTTGCTTAAAAATGAGTTCTGAAAGAAAGTGCGAATTATAGAATCACATGTCACTTATATCAGACATGAATATTAGGATTGAATGAAAGAGAAGACATAGAACAAAAGAGAAAAGAAGAGCTTAGAGAGATAGATAGATAGAGAGAGAGAGAAGGGGGGCACGGAAGAAGCAAAGAGAGAGAGAGAGAGAGAGAGAGAGAGAGAGAGAGAGAGAGAGAGAGAGAGAGAGAAAGAGGTCCAGAAACAAAGAAGAGCGAGATAAGAAAACTTTAAAGAGACGTAAAACGCATATTAAAATTTGCGATACAAAGATTCAGAATTGTGACTTAAGAAACAAGGGAAATCATTTTCGGATGTATGTTGGACATTTAAAGAATTATAGTCAACCAACGATATGACAGAAGCCTTTGAATATGGACAGTAGCAGAAAGAGATCAAGATCATGATGTGAGTTTGCACATGTGCAATTGAACGCGCAATTGGGAGATTAGCTTTGTAAGTGAATGACAGAGAAAGTATGAAGGATAGAATAAAATTGTGTGTGTGTGTGTATAATGCATATGCATTATTTGTATCTGTTTATGCGAGAGTGGAAGACAGTCTGATAGACAGACACTACAGAAAGAAAGATTGGCGAAGAGATCTTGTAAATTAGCAGAGGAAGAACTTGATGCTTCCATTGCCTGAAGAGAGACGAGGTTGAGGAAGAAGACTGCGGTGGCAAGAACAATGGAAAGGAAACAAATAAAATCAAATGCAAACTCGCGCCAAGATTTTGGTCTCTTTCTGTCTCAGCAGAAATGGAAATTCTATAGATTGCTTCGATTTTTATTCGGAAGGTCCAGAGAATAAATTCAGTGTATGCATTTTGCGAAATACACCAGTTTAATGCTTAGGCACACACCATCAGTATCGTTCTTAGCTGCGGATCATTTAGGGATTTCGGGTATTACATCATCATAGCCCTTGTTAACGCCGACCCAGTCGATACTGATCGGATATCCATTTTGTATGCCACCCGCCAGCTACATCACACACACACACACACACACACACACACACACACACACACACACACACACACACACACACACACACACGGATATATATGAATATAATCAAATGAATAAATATAAATAAATTTACGGGTAAGTGTTCCCATACAAATACATACATATATATCCTTTATATATATATTTATATATATATATATATATATATATATATATATATATATATATAAACCTGGTGATTGCGTCTAGCATGAAAAACAGACTGTCGCCTCTAAGTGTTGACTTCAATGTTCACTTTTATATTTACACACGCTCTATCTCTGATATTGAGCAATTCACCCTATAAATATAGCACACCTTAAGACTATATTTCTTTATATATATATATATATATATATATATATATATATATATATATATATATATATATATATATATAATACTATTCTCATAATATAAGGCCGATATAAAATATTACGAATTTGTTGTTCATTATATTCCAATCACAGGCAACTACTGGTTCAACAGTTTGTTCGCTCTTCCATAAAAAAGAAGAAACGCATTTAGTAATATTCAAAATTAAAATAGTTCGGGTGTAAAGCTGTTAGAGTTATATCAAAAAGCCGCACGAAAACGGATTAACACACACACACACACACACATATATATATATTTGGACAGCAATCCTTCTTTTATACATGTTTCATGGAATACGATGGACAGTGAATATTTTGCAAATTTTATTCAATTTTACTAGCGTTATTACAAAAATAAAAAATAATAATAAAATAATCCTTGTCTGAGGAAGTCAATTAAATATTTTATTATTAGTATTAGTTTTATTATTATTATTATTATTATTATTATTATTATTATTATATAAAAATAACGAAAATTGAGAAAATCTGCAGTCAGTCGCCGAAACCTCCTGACGAGTGTACCGAACAATCGCGAAAAAGTTTTCTACGAAATTCTGGAGGTGAGGTGCTGAATATAATATCTATCTGATAAGTGATAAATTTTATTTGCATTAATTAATTCTATATATATATATATATATATATATATATATATATATATATATATATATATATATACACTACAGCTTAGGGTCACCTTGCATTTTTCTTAAAAAAAAAACACCATAAAATGAGATATATTTTTAAAGTAAAAGATAAAATTTCAGCAACTAGTATATTTTATTGCTTTTATTTTGACAAAAATTTAGCCATAAAAATGATTAGTATCTTACATTGTTTTCATCAATAAAACAACCACCTGCATTAATTACTTTTTTACAATTTCTTCGCATTTTTTCCAAAAGTTTTTGAAAATGTAAATGGCAAACCTTCGTAAGCATTCTTCGAATAATGAAAAAGCTCACTCTCACGCTTTTGATATTCTCATCGAACTCTCCTGTTCAGCTCATACCATACTAATTCAATAGTTCAGAGGTCGGAAGATTGAGGCGGCCAAGTCATAATTTCCAAAATTTTGTTCCTTTTTTTTACTCTAGGTAATTTTGACATAATTTAGAAGAGTGTTTTGGATCGTTGTCTTGTTGAAAACCGATTTTTTTATACCAATTATGCTTAAATCAAATGGCATAAGCTTGTCTTTGCAAAATCGATGATACTGTTCTTTTTTCGTTATTCCCTTGACCCGAATCAAATTTCCAACCCTCACTCCCCCAAACACACCAGCCCTATAACCGACTCTTTCAGTCTTTCTTTTGACTTTCTCCTCACATACACTCTATTCTTACTTAATTTGGACTCGCTTGTCCACAATAAATTTTGTTACTCTTTCAATGTCCAGTTCTTATGCATTTTGCTCATAACAGTTTTTTTCTGTTTATTCAAATTTCATAACGGGTTTTGTTGCTGGCTATGCACCAACCCACTGAACCTCACTGATTTATGTCGATTTTTTACTGTTGAGAGCAACACTGGTTGCTGCCGCGAGGAATTAAGTTCAGCTGTCAACTGGAGCAGTTTTCCTTCTATTTGTTTTGCTTTCAATAATCAGGTGTTTATCATCAGAAGTAGTTGGTACTTTTCGTGCTCTAGTTTTTTTTTCTGTCAATATTTACGTCTGTTTCTAACTCTTTGAAACAAATATCGTACTCCATCTCTAGAAATAATCAACTTCTTGGCAATTTGTCTTTGAGAGTAGTTTTCTTTGAATAAAATTTCAATTTTTACCCTCACCTCAATGCTTAGCTGCTTTGATCTCACCATTTACTGCAAATTACTTCAAAATTAAAAAAATAAATTAAAAAGTATGAAAATAATGTCCAAATGACACAATCTTTTTTTTTCTTCAAACAGGGACAGCTACATGTGTTTGTTTTTTGCAACATTAGTCAGTTCCGAGTTAACACTTAGAACCTCAATTAACATTTAACTTAGTTGAAAATTCTGGTAATTTCAAAAAGTCTACTGAGGGGTTAATGGTGAAATCAAAATATAATGTTTCTCATAAAAAATATTCATAATTTCGCAAAATGTATTGTGGACAGACTAATCCAAATTTGAACATTCTGGTAGTAAGAGGGGACTGAAAAATGACTGAAAAGTAAAAGCATATACACTGTATGTACTGAAAATTTATATTTTACTTAAAAAAAATACACAGTACAAATCTGTACACATTCACTTCCTCGCAAAAAGGAGTAAAATTTTGGAAATTATGACTCGGTCGCCTGAACTCTTTCCTAGTGAATTAGTATGGGATGAATTGGATAGGAAAGTTCAAAGAGGATATCCACTGCTTGAGAGTGAGCGATTTTTTAGTGTTTGAAGAATTCCTGAGAAGGTCTGCCATCTAGTTATTTTTAAAAAACCATTGAAAAGAATGCCAAGAATTTGTAAAGCAGTAATTAAGGCAGATAATAGCTTTATTGACGAAAACAAAATAGGACGCTCTTGTATGATAATTTTTTTATAGTTGTTATAAAATAAAATAAGACATATCTCGGCTGATTTGCAGGCAAATAAACTAACATACTCAAGAGCGAGAGCCGGATTTGAACGGGACAAGGCTCCGTCACAAAATGACCATATTCCCGACGCACGAGTTCCGGTCGAAAAATAAAATAATATTTTAAAGTGTTTCTATTTTTCGACCAATAAAAATGCTTCCCTCCTAATTATACTCGCGTCGTTTTACGACCCTGTCAAGCCATAAAAAAACGCCATAAAAGGGGTCATACGGAAGTACAACGGCAGTCAACAGGAGGCCAAGGAAGAGACCTGTCACGTCAGGCTGAGCAGTCAGCGGCAGCCAGCAGCAGTAGAGCCACGCCAACCAGCGAGAATTACTATGAGAGATCAACCCAGATCTTCAGCCGACCTATGAACTATATCACAAGGTAGCTGTCTCAAAACCACACGTTCCTATTGAAATAAATCACGTAAATCTATTTCTGCTGTTGTCGTATTTCTTTCTTGCAACCATACGCTTGTCTATAACATAGTTAATTATTTATTTTTTGTCAAAATAACAACAAATACACTCTAGTTAGTGAAATTTTATCTTTTATTTTCAATGATATTATAATCTGTTGTCATTGCTGTTTTCCTCCTCAAACCTATCGTCTGCCATCTCTTCTGTACGTTATAGTTTTTTCAACATTTCTTACCAACTTCCAGACACTTTATACCGTTCCTATTCAAATTCAAACAACCTACCATTTTCTTCTTTACTTGTTTTTAATGATGAAACAAAACCAGAGTCATTTAGTAAGCATCTTAATGTATAGTTGAACCGTTGTTATTTGATTAAAAAAAAAAAGAATCTTTAGAAAGTTTGTTGAAAACAGATATAAAGAAAAAAATGTACATATTAAGTTTGCTATATTTTTTTTAATAGTTTTCAATTTTTATTGAATATTTAGATTTCTTGCATAATCAACAAATTATAAGCTAATACTACTTCAGGTATCACAGGCACAAAAAAACTGTTAAATTATATTTGTGGGACAAACCCATTCAAAGCGCCCCCTCAAAGCGCCCCCTCAAAGCGCCCCTCAAAGCCCCCCACAAAGCAACCCCCTCAAAGCGCCCCCCCCTCAAAGCAGGTCCCCCCTCAAAGGGGGACTCCATAAACCCTACACATGATACAGGAGATCAATATTTCCGAAAATAATAGATAAAATAAAATCAGCAACTTTCTAGTTTAGCGTCCCAATCACGGTATGCTAAGCTACGCGTTCCATGAAATTTCTGTTTAAAGAAGAATGTAATTTTAGAAACTGATTAATGAAAAGCCAAGAATCATCGTAAATATATTTCCACTTTAGTGTACATTTATCCTTTAAAGTCATTTGTGATAATTTTGGAGGTTAAACTACGAGGTCGCCCCAAAAATCTACTGCAACTCTGTTCAAAATGTAAAGTCATTATTAAGCAGTTAAGCTCTGACTTAAAGAACTACCATTTTAAATTCAGCCTTGTGCCACATTCGAGTGTGTGCGCGTGTGTCTGTGTGGATAACTACTGACTTAAGGGCGCGTTTCACCTCATAATCAACTCAGTCAAGCCGGAATATAGTTTCTTTGATGTTTTCTTTCACCTTGGTAACAGTTGGTTATTAAATAAAAAGAAACATAATTGATTTTCTCTTTCCGGAGGCTGATCAAAAGAATAAAGCCTGAGGAAAGGACTAAAAATCAATAATTGATTTTTTCCTTTTCAGCGGCGGATCAAAAAGAAAGTATTTAAATGTTTAAAAAAAGATGAAAATAAATAATTCATTAAATATTACGGAAATAATAATAATAATAATAATAATATATATATATATATATATATATATATATATATATATATATATATATATATATATATGAAGGATTATAGTTTTTTAAGATGTACTATATTTATGAGATAAAGTGCTCAATATTAGAGATAGAGCATATGTAAATATAAAAAGTGAACATTGAAGTCAACACTCAGAAGCGACAGGCTGTTTCATGCTAGACGCAATCGTCAGGCCACCTTACGATTGCGTCCATCATCAAAACTGTCTGTTGCCTCTGAGTGTTGACTTCATTGTTCACTTATGCATATATATATATATATATATATATATATATAATCAATTCAGTTCAAGCAAGGTGTTAATGCCACTAAAACGCAAGGGGTTACTGATAGTGAAAGAGAATAAAAAAAAACATTAGAAGGAACCTGAAACCTAGTCCTAAACATGGAACAAGGGATAAACCTCTACTCCTGTTAAAAAAATCGGGCAGGAGTGTGAACCAGAGGAGTGTGAACAATGTCCTAGTTACGTTAAAGCGTTAGTTCGTCATCAGTAATGTGATAGTCCGTATATAAAAAGTGTAAATACAAACACGTAAATAGTCAAGGCAAGAAAAACATTCAAAAGATTTGTGATGAGTGTAAAGTAATTCTTTGATTCATACAGTTTTAAGAGTTCGCACAGAGACAAAAAGGTATGGTTTCCTTATTACAGTGGGACTTCAGGTGAATTCAGGCTTTCTCTTTTGTCTACTAACTATAACAAAAGTAGAAGGCATAAGCAATGTGGTCGATGTGAAAGTACAGTAAAACTTAGTAGTATATATGTTTTTATTTCTATTTCATATCCAGATTCATTTAAAGGAGTCATGCGCTGACGTCTGATCCCAGCAAAGACACGTGGTGAAGAGAGAGAGAGAGAGAGAGAGAGAGAGAGAGAGAGAGAGAGAGAGAGAGAGAGAAATTAATTTTGGAATTCTGGGATCGATGTTAGCTGATTACGGCCTTTCCGTTTACTGTTTTTTTTTTTTAAATTTTTTGCGTGATGGGAAATGGATTTATTTACATTATTAACATTATTCAGACTGTTGTCCTCATCTTTATCTTCTTCAGGTGATCGGAATTTCGAACTGAACTCTTTATTTCGTCCACCAGGGTAGATTGAGCTAATTCCACGTGCATTGCCTCTTCCGGATGTCTCAGTTATTTTCCTTTAACTCAACTCTCTGAGTTTTTGTTCACTTATTGAACTCAGCTCTTTGGGTCAAGTCACGGGATCCAACCAATCCACTAGGCTTTGTGTCCTTGAGGACATCAGTGTGTGAATTTTGGAGATTTATAAACTTAATGTCTCAGTAACCATTTTTTTTTTACCAGAGCTCATATTGCAATTTTTTTGTTATTATTGCTTTTCTAGATATAGACAGATATTGAAGGATTGGTTCGGACACGATATACCGAAAATATGGAGACAGTTAGAAAGGACCCATCAGAAGTTGGCATGACTATCAGAGCATCCAACATTGCTACACTGATTCATCGCTTCAGACTTGGCACCAAGATTTCCCATCAAATCAATGAGAGTCAGTCGTAAATATGACAATAAAGATGAGGACAACACTCTGAACAATGTAAACAATTACAATACCTCATTTCAGATATATTGACGGAAATGGATTTATTTTTATTCATTTTTTTTATCTCTCACAGGTTTATCTTAGGATCAAGTTTCGCAGATACACCTCTCGTTAGGGTCAGGTAAAACTTTTGAATGCATCAGTAGGTACCATATTCTACCTGGTCCTATGATGAGTCTTTTCACATTTTTTTTTTTTTTTGGATTAAAACAGTGCAAAGAAACTAGAAACGCTTAAGAATGCAAATCAAGCGATGGAAAGCGGCCGAATGGCATTACCATTTTCCCTTTTAAAAAGTCGTTGATTTGGGATGCGACCTGTGCGGATACATTTTCGGTCGGTACTTTGATCAGGTCCGCGGTTGAGCCAGGATCCGTCGCCCGGGACGCAGAGATGAAAAAAGTAGTTAAATATTCTTCGCTTGCTAATAGATTTTTTTTTTACTCCCGTGGCAGTGGAGACTTCAGGGGTTATTGACCCTCGTTCGATGGCGTTCCTTCCGAGGATTAGCGCGATTGCGTCTCGATTAAGGGACGAGCCTCGCGAAACGGAGTGGCTCTTGCAGCGTGTCTCACTGGCGATGGTTCGAGGTAATGCTTTCTCCATCATTGCTACTGGCAGAGGATAGAAAAAATTGTTTATTGTTACGTTGTTCTGGAATTGTCATCAGTGGTCAACTGTACTTGTTTTGTTTCAATAAATTTGATGAATACTTTCTATTAAAAAGGGAAAAAATACGAGTTGACGTTTGCATCGTAAGAGCGAGTTGAGGCGTAAAAAAAAAAGGAATTTTGTTTTTAATCTAGAAATTGGCTTTTTTTTTTTTTGGTCTTATATTTTTCTTTGGAGCAGAGAGGTCCAGACAAGATGGAGCTGTGCTGAATCTCTCCGATACTTTTCACATTTTCTTTATCTTTATTTATTATGAATATATTTACACTATCTGCAGAAAAAATAACTTTAAATATTGAAATAGTAAATAACTGAAGAATAAAATGTTTGTTAAGGTCTGGATATTTGTTAGGCGTTGTAAAATTTGGTATATAGCTATATTAATAAGAACAACAGTATGTATGTATAACGAGACATTATATAGAATGCGATGCAGAGTTTTTAGAGGTGATATATGTCGATCATAAAATAGTTTTATCATTTAAATTAGATTTTGGTACACTGAACCATTTGAAGTGTATTTCAGTACACTAATACATTTGAAGTGGATTTTAGTACACTAATACATTTGAAGTGAATTTCTGCACACTGATCCATTTGAAGTAGATATTAATACACTGATACATTTGAAGTGGATTTTAGTACACTGATACATTTGAAGTGGATTTTAGTACACTAATACATTTGAAGTGGATTTTAGTACACTGATACATTTGAAGTGGATTTTAGTACACTAATACATTTGAAGTGGATTTTTGTACACTGATACATTTGAAGTGAACTTTAGCACAGCCAGCTTGTCAAAAATAAAGAAAAGAAACACCTATTCTCCACTTCCAGAAAACAATAGCTTCCTACTTTTAGTTAGGTAAGGAAAAAGAGAACCATACTAAACAGCACTTCTATGGTGTTAAAGCGTTAGGGATAACTTAATGTCTACTGTGGGCCTTAGAGAGTGGAGAAAACCAAGATACTTCTTGTTTTTCGTACGAAGCACCTCATCATATATATTTTTCCTAATTCATCACGTCTAGACCTAGAAACCTCAACCCTATTTTTGGGACTTATCGGCAGTGCGCATCCAGTACCGAGAATCGAACCCAGACCGATACGATACAACGCAAGCATCATACCATTGGGACAGCGAGGAAATTAAGTAACTAGACCAGACGCAGCTAATCATACATAAATATAAATATATAAAATCCACGTATGTGTTTAAATTCAATTATTTTGAAAATGCTGAACGTTTTCAACCGAATGTCGTTACAATTCTTAACCTCTCCGTAACAATGTACTATAAAGGTCACGCGAGATTAGTATGCTAACCACTGCGTTATGGCAAATAATATTTTATGTGAAAAACATTCAATTCTGTATAAAGAATAAAATAAAAGGTTTAAATGCAAATTAAAATGACGACTGATCGCTCGTAATCATGGGCTATGCGTTTAGTTTTTAAGCAATCAGTAAATATGGCTATTGGCGAAGTAGGACAAATGCATTTAAATACGTGTAAAGAACGAAATTTACTGTAAATATTATGTGCAGCTTCCTGGTTTTTTACAAGTAATTGTTGGTGATGTTAATGTTAACTGAGCGCCCAAAAGATCTTCCAGGCACGTCATATATTTTCTTAATACACCATCTACAAATATAGATTTAGTTAGCTCTCCACCTCCGCTCCGAATCATAAACCCATATCCTCTTGATTATCTTGGAAAGTAAATATCTCACAGAAATATATGGGAAAAACGTTTTCATCGAAATCCTCGCTTGTCGAACTCTCTTCCGGCTTCTTGCTTCCCAGTAAACTTTCATCTTCAAAAATGCAAGCGCAATGTCAATCGTTATTTTCTGTTTTCTTAATTCTTCTTCTTTTATTGTTCTCTCTCCTTAATAACCTTTTTTCTCATACTATCTAAGACTCAGTAACCTCTTGCATCTGTGTAGCTTTACTGCCTTGTTTGGGGTAAAATGATTTAAAAAAAAATCAAGAACTTTAAGCAAAGTAGACGCAATATATAGACAAAATAAAGCGCCAGTTTAAACCCGGAAACCCTGTGTGTCGAAGAGACTATCCAGGGGTTCAGTAAATGCCTGGAGATCAAAAATGGGTCGATAAATAAATTGTGGTGACTTGCGACTAAAAGTCAACAATTTACAACCAACTATCAATGTCCTTAATAGAGGTCCATCAAACACAGCCATTCCATTGTTGATGTCAAGCAATTCAATTAAAGGGTGGAGTTGAATTGATTTTTGCTTTGTTTCTTATTACCTATATATGAAGTATTTATAACATAGCATTATAATAATAATAATACTAGCACTACAACCCAAACACGTCTAGTATCGGGAGAGAAATAGAAATTGAAAAAGAATAAGAAAACGTAACCGAGAATGATTAATGAAAGAAAAGAGCAAAGAAATAGCTACACTTAAATAAATAAAAACCCTATTATTATAGGTTACTTTTTGTTTGAACATATCTGGGAGTTGATGATGGATTCAGTGAAGGAGTCGATGTCCTAAAAAGTTTGGGAACTCCTGGTTTAAATTGAATATGGGTTAAAACTCACAGAATGTGCTGGCCTCTAAAATATTTTTTTTATGTTAATTAGGTGATTTTAGCGAAATAGGCGCAAAATTTTCAGAAGATACATTTAAAAAATATATATATTCATTCTAAAAGAGAAAAGAAATAAAGGGAGGAGTCAGTGAGACGAATGGTGGTCTCATTTAAAAAAAAAAGGTTTATAAATATCTTTAAAGTCTGGTTTAATGACAAACTGATGGATTCTCATGTCTGCAATCTCAGTATTCAGTCTACTAGAATGATAAATATTGTGGGTATTACCACCACTGGTCTGCCAAAACGATTGCTAGGTGGAGGTGCCCAGGAATATAAAAGGAAGGACACAAGCTCTGTCTTCCTCTTTTACTTCTAGAAGGCGGTAAGAAAAAAGACTTATCCAGTCTTCTCTTCTAGTCACTCGGACATGTGGGGTATTTCTCCTCACACACTTTTAACAGTAAAACTTTAATTTTTTTCTCTTATTCTTTTCAGATATATATGTATGCACACTAGTATTTCTCTCTTTTGAAAATCATGTTATTCTTTATTTAAAAATAGATCAACAATTTTCCACGAGCTGGAATTTATCCCTCCTGAAAATGTTGAATTCAATTCTATCTAAAGCTCTCATCCACAATCTCGTTCTATCTGAAACCTGTAGAGACCCGCATTCCTTCTGCGATAGAGTATTATTTTATTAAGAGTTTAAATTAAAGTACTTTTTCCATATTCATTTTATATTTACTAAAATGCTACAATAAAAAAAAATCATTTCAAGGAAACTGAATGTTTTTAAACATCATTACTCCGCTAAATCTTTTTCAAAATTATTTTTCTTTTTAGCTGACAAGCATATCGCGGCCCATTTGTGGTTCACGGATGTCCTCTTGAGAATCGATGACTTAAATAAAAAGGAAGATATAAAAAAATTGGTTTCTAAGAAATAATGGAAAAGATATACTGAGAAGTGATGATAGCCATATTAGTTTAACTCATGGCTATTGTGTATTTTATAAACATAAAAAAATTCGCTTTAAAAAATAGAAACGTTCTTCTGTATTGACTTTCATGGTTGCTTGCATAAGTGATTGAGTTTTTTTAGCCTTTTTATACTCTTAAGTCGGTCAGTTGATTTTTTTTTATTAAGAGTACATTTTTATCAATTCATAATACCATTTTATTTTAATTGTGAGTTATATTTACAAATAGATCCCCTCTCCTAATAAATGTTGGAATAGAAAGAAAAGTGTTTGTCAAACTCTCGAAACAAGGATATTTTTTGTGTGGCGCCATGTCGGCGAGATATAACTCATCAGTTATTGTAGGTCATTTATTGCTTTTCACAATAATTTACGAACTCTTTTGAAGCAAGTAACTCTTACGCTTACAAAGGCACAAGAAATGTCTCCTGGGATATCTCGTCAACCGTTCCCAAAAGTTTAAGGATCGGCTCCTCTCGCTCACTTTCTCTTTTGTAGTTGTAACTGAAGAAATGACGAAAGAAATTATTTGAGTGGGTAGGAATGAGTCATTTTTTTAAAAACTACAATTCACTTATTACAAAGTATGTGAGTCACTCAAGTTATAGGGTTACTGTTAAAATTGTTGTTTCTTTAAAAAATTCTTTCACCGCATGCAAGGTGATATTGCCACTAAGACATAAGACTAAGAGGTTACTGATGGTTAAAGAAAACGAGAAAGTGAGTAGAAAGTATAAAAGAATGCGATTCAGGTTGGTTTGGTTGATTTTATTTAGCGGTATATCAACATTTATGGATTATTTAATGCCGAAATTTAAATATTTTGTACATAATTTTATACTTTCAGAGTAAAAAGTATGATTTTTTTTAAATATATACTTTTTTTTAGATCATAAAATGTATTTTCCGTAATTTCACTACAAAAATGTATTGTTAATTTTAATAAAAATGTATTGCTGGTCATTTTACTATAAAACTGTGCTCTTGATTTTTATTTGGGGGTTCACTATTTGGCATTAGCTGAGACCCTAAAAGGTGCTACTACCCCGGGTCAGGGTGGATCTGGGAACAACAGCAATTAAGAGGTGGTTCCATGCTGCTCAAAACCTCCAATCTCCCGATCGCAAGCCGTGCAGCTGGATGTAGTTTATCGTCATACCCAGGACGAACGGGATTCAGAAAGACAGAAGATGTCAATTTATGTTGAGCCTAAAATATGATGAATGAGGTTTGATATTAGTGAAAATGGAGGTGGTAGAAAGTGGAGATTATAAGAATAAAGAGGATAGATAACAATTGACCATTGACTTGAAGAGGTCAATATTGAAGTATTTAGTACCCACTTAGGGATCTATTCCACAAAGTGACAATTCTTGGGAAGAAAAGTTTTCTGAAGGGGGAACCTTTTCCTTATTTTTGGAATACGGGGGAAATGAGAGTGATTCGACTCTGTGTAAGTAACATAACGTGTCATAGTAGTACAAGTCTGAACTGATTGAACTAGAGAATGTACATTTGCAATGGAATTAGAGATAGAATAGTGATAGGCACGTTGGAAGACTGTTTAGCGACACGAATTGAATAATCAAAGAGCAGAGATCGAATTCCAATCGAGTTCATAAAATTTACTTACGTCTTAATACTCTTGGGAAAGATATAAACACATCTCTTCTCCTTAAGCTACGGGTAAATTAGCAGGACATTCTAGGAGATGGAAACTCTGAATTCAAACCAGTCTAAGAAATTTGGGCTCTGTCAGGCTAACTTGTTCAGGAAACGCTCGGATCGCACTATCCTAAAAGTGTGTATACATGCGGCTGGGTACCGCTTGTGAATTCAAATTCCCCCTAAAACTCCTACTATGAATTTACACGACCGAATGAATACGACCTCTGCTACGCTTGGTCAGCTTTCGCTTGAGATGCAGCAGGTTCGTTTGACGAAGCCGGCTCAACTTGTGAGAGAAGATGGAGAGTAGAGAGTATAGCTTTCTACAGCGAGACTGCATCAATGCGATAGTGCAACCCGGGCGTTTCCGGGACAAGTTAGCCTGACAGAACCCAACCCTCTTAGGGTGGTTTGTATTCAGAGTTTCATTCTCCTAGACTGGTTGTCACCTAATGCTATAGGACCCAGCCTGTCCTGCTAATTTATTCATAGCTCAGCGGGGTGAGGGGGAGAAGAGATGGATTTATACCTTTCCCAAGGTTATTAGCACATTGCTGTTGTTTCCAGTTCAGTGAACTCGACGGGAATTCGATCTCTGCTCTCTGATTTTTCAATCTGGGCCGTTAACCATTACCCCACCTTGAGCTCTATCAAGGCTGGAAATTGAGTAACGAGCAGCACTTTATGAATTGACATAACTTCTTGAGAAAGGGGTGTTTTTCCGTTGCCCTTTCTACGAATATTTTTGCCTTACAGCCACATCACGTTGAAACACGGGTTCCTGTACGATCATAGAAGTTAAGCAACATCGATTCTAGTCAGTGCCTAGATGGGTGACCGCTTGGGAATACCAGGTGCTGTAAACTTGGATATGCGGGCGGGGTAATGGATAATTGCTTGGAATCCTTAATTGTAGAACCGAGTTCCAATTTCCGTTGGGTTCGTTATATTCACTTAGGCGCAAATCACCTTGGGAAAGGTATGAATCCACCTCTTCTCCCCCCAGCCATGGGTTAACTAGTAAGACTTGTATCACTAAATCATTATTATCTAAAAAAAAAAATTCTTGTAATAAAACTTTTGAAAAGTATTTTTTTGTTTTTAAATAACCTGAAATGGGTTGATAAGCCGTAGAAAACGAATCAATCAATCAACAGATCCGGATCAATAATATTGCTGATTCTTCTTTGGATTTTATGAAAGAGCTCAAGTTAAATATCGTGTGTTGCAGTAGGATTGTTAATCTTAAAGAAAATCTCCAAATTTTATGTAGCCGATTACATGGGCCACCTTTTCTGGCCAGTGGTCAGCATGACATATGGCTTATCATAAAGTAATGTCGCCTGAATAAAAAAACATAAAATAAAACATTTTTGCTGAGTCAAACGGACAGATCATACGTGTAAGCATCTGCCTTAGAAATAGGGAAAAAGTTGATTTTTTTCTATTTGAAGAAACTATTTTCTCTGCAATTAATACATTGTAAATTTCAGTATCTGTCGATATTTCTGAGATGAGGTGTTCTGTACACTATTTACATTATTCGGACTATTGTCTTCATCTTTTTTGCCATAGTTATCACAACGTTTCGGTCTTTGTACATTCCAACCACTTGAAGAAAGCCGGAGCGTACAACGGCCGAAACGTTGGAATAAACATGACAACAAAGATGAGGACAATAGTTCGAATAATGAGTTGTAAATTTCGTATAATATTTTCACTGATGTCACTGTGATTAATTAACTTAATTATATACAATAATAGAGGTGAACAATTCAACTAGAAAGATTGAAAATAAATACAATGTATCTAAATACAAATTAGAGACCTGTCATAATAGATCATTCCTTCTTAAATAAATCAACAATGTTTTGCGGCAATTTTAACATTAACTTGGGATTTTTTCTTGTTAAAAGGTTGAAGAATTTTAACACATTCAGGATAAAAAAAAATAGTAAATTTTAGATTGTGTTTTTTCGAGACTTAGCATTTAACAAAACAAATTTACGGATTTGGACAAAAAAAAAAAAAGACCCCAGAATGACGTCAAAATCCGCGAAAGTTTTTAATCCTTTAATAGCCTGTTGCGCTTAATTTAATTTGTAACATATATAAATGTAGGTAGAAAAATGTTGATAAGATAGTGAGGGTCACAAAGCACTGCCCGGGGATTCCCTTCAGGCATTCTCCCCGTTCGGAGAGTCCAGAGGTAGTATGCACCCGTCCTGTATTCAATGCTATATAAAAGATTAGATATTACAGAGTTCAGTGCCCTTTGTTTCTAATGAAATTTCCATATCATTTATGGATGAGTTAGTTCGCTTGGTAGAAACAGTATTAGTAAATACTTCTGAATGTCCGAACACTACCTCTTTATCAAAGAATGGATAAAAAAAAGTAATGAATTTTCCAAAGTGTTTCCTCAAGACTTAATGAACAAAACGAATTAATAGATTTGAACAACAAAAAAAGAATCCCCCAAAACAAAAAACAAAAAAAAAACAAACCCAAAAAGCAACCCCCCCCCAAAAAAAACCAAAATCAAAAAACCCAGAATGACATCAAAATCCGTGAAAATTTTTCATCATTTAATAGTTAATTGTGCTTAGTTTAATTTGTAACGTATATAAATGTAGGTAGAAAAATACTGATAAGATAGTGAGGGTCTCAAAGCACTGCCCGTGTGCCCCAGTCAGACTTGCTGTCTCGGTCAGGGAGTTAGTGGTTAGTCTGCGTCGGCTTTGTGTTTAGTGATAATAGAATTGTGGAATCGTCTTGTAGTTGCTGCTTGCTTATTTTTCCTTTGACTTCTTTATCAGATCTTCATTTCTGGGGTTCGAACTTGACTTAATTCTTTGTATCTTTTTCGTTTGTACCTCCTCAGTGTTCAGAATACACCGTCACCGGCTCACCAAATGATTTTAAATGCTCTAGAGTAGTGTTTCCCAAAGTGGGCTTTGTTATGTTGAAAGGGGGCACTGGGAGTTTTTTTTTTTTCAATTTAATTTGTGGGGCGGTGAACATACTCAGGTGGCAATGGGCATGTATCCATTTTTTCAGATTTTTAAAAATTATTCAATATTGGCTACAAAAGGAAATTTCTGAAAGTGCTGTGGAAAGCTATCAAACTTTTCTTCATTGCTTTTTCAAGTTCCTATATGGCTGAATGTAGTTTCAACGCAGTTACAGAGCTTCTTACTAAATAAAGAAACCGCCTGCAATTTACACAACAAGGTGGTTTACGATTATGTCCAAGAAGCATGTAATCTAGAATAAGAGCCTTAGCAAGTAAACCCCAAAATCAACCATCGCATTGAAATTATTGAGATAAGCTACCAAATAAAAGTTTTTTAGGGTTTTAATCATTGGCATTTATAATAGAAATGAAAACAATTTTAACATTATTTTGCACTAATACCTAAGTGCTATCTTTCTATGAAAAATGAATTCAGTATAATATTCAAAATTTAATTTGACAGGGGGGCGTTGATAAAATGTTTGTGCCCAGAGGGGGCACTGATTGAGAAAAGGTTGGGAAACGCTGTTCTAGAGAAATAAGATTTTGGTTAACGTATTGTTCTATCAATTTCCATAAAGATTTATGCTGCTGCAAGCTGTTGAGTGTCTGGAATTGTAGGGGGCCATACAAATATCCGCTGGTTTCTTTCTCGTGTTTGTTTCATTGGCTCCAGTCTAAATAACACTCACAAGCTTATATTTGACTTTTGAAAATTTAACGTAAATTCTTAGAAAAAATTAACCGACTTGACTGCACTTTACCGGGCACGGTTAGGAAAAACAGTTGCGATTTATCCTTCGTAACATTAAATTAAATTTCCTCTGGCGGAGTCAGGGTTAAAGAACCCGTGCCATGTCCCATCACTATTTACTGTCCATTGTAGCTGTTAATAAACTTTGTTTTTTTTTCTTATCTTTCCTAATCTAATCTTTCTTTCTTTTTTCTATGTGATGTGTCTCTTTGGTACATGGGTGATCATGGCTGTCCACAATTTCTCTGTTTCTTTGTAGGTCTTAATAACCTTTGTCTTTTTGTTATCTCTCGCTGAGTAACCTAAGAGGAAAACAACGCATAACTTATGCGTTCTTTCCCCCTGCCCCTCTGCTCTTCAATCTGTCCTATGAGTATGAAAATTTCCAAACCATCTTTCCTCATTATATACCATAGACATTTCAACTGTCTCCTCCTGATATTAAATATAAGTCTCCTTTTGTTTCCATTTTCTCTAAAACATCGTCCTTGCTCACATGTTCGGTCCATAGTATTCTCAGCATCCTTCTGTAAAGCCACATTTCCGTTGCTTCAAGTCTCTTTTTCAACTATGAGGAGATTGTTCAGCATTCACTGTCATATAGGAGGACTAATATTACGTTACAGTTCAGTAGTCTTTTCTTTGCTTCTAAATTGCATCTTATATATAAAGTATAGTGTATGTGTGTTTGTGCGTGTGTGTGTCCAAGCAAATCCTCCGGTTCCACTGGTCCGATTTCAATGATTCATAGCTCATTCAAAAGTCCTAGAAAAGTTAGGCACAGGTAACGATTTTCGTTGAGCTCAGGTTCAGGGCTGCGAGATTAAGAATATATAGTAAGACATTATACTAGCTATTATCGTTGCTTTCATGGTTCAAGGGGTGTAACTCTTATTTCCTTTTTGTATCCAAAATTGCAGCTAGCTTAAAATTTTAAGCTCGCTTAAAAGACGCCCTATCGCGCGGCATTTAAGCAAGCTCCCGCGGAGGGCTCTTGGTTTGGTCATCACCACAATAGCTACAAAAGAGTAGATGCGATAGGCAGCAATAAACTACAGAAGAACTCAAAACTGATCATTGCATTTAAGTATTGAATTAATGTTTAAGCTTACCTTTTAAAAGTTCAACTGCTGCCACATAATTTAAAGATGATTTGATGTATGTAGATACTTATTTTTTGTACAATTATTTTTATTTCATGGGTGATGGAACTGGGGATAATTTATAAGAGGAAATTAATATAGTGTAAAATGGGAAAATAGAAATTAGAGACACATTCAACATTTGAAGAGTTAGAGTTGAGTTAGAGAAACATAATAGCTAAGTAAGTAAAACCTGTACTATGGAATCAAAATGAATAAATGCGAATTCTGAGATTAAAAAGCCTACTTTATAGAAATTTATACACTAAAAACTCAATATCTGTATTATATATTATATACTTCTAGGCAATATCACTTTTCAGGTTTAACTAATTTGCATATTCATTTTAAAAAGTTTACTTCATTAATTATCTGTCCTTCATTAATGTTCTTTTATTCGAGGATTATTTTGTTTTTCATATCAAAAA